AGAACTAAAGGCAAGAACTCTTATTAAAGCTTTATTTTTTTTTCTAAACGAAACCATTGTCAGAAGCAAAAGATCAGCTCGATTAGAGAGAAGATAATTAATGATTATAACGTGCACGGAAAGATTCCGTGCAAGGTCGCGAAAAAGAAGATTTGTTTATGTCGTTCGCACTTGGGTGCGTGTTACTGTTAAGGATTATAAATTGTTCGACCCGTTCTTTTTTCAAAGTCCATCCACCGGTGCACACCCCACACAACAGCCTTCACAAGCTTCTCCACCCTTGTCCATGCCGTGGTGCATTCTCGCCCAGATCGCGGTAATGAACGCGTTCTGCAGTTTGCACTCGGTGCGAGTCTGCCATTATTGCATTGCTCGAGCTAAATAAATTATTCCGCCCAGGCTTTTGTGCGCCCACACGTGTGCGCGAGGTGTTACAAGTTGGTTGTCCCCAACAGTAGATAGAAGAGCAAGCGCTCTCTTCTCGTCGATCGGTGGAACATTCGTACCGACTGTGAAAATTGCTAATGTATTGTACGCGAAATAACGCGCGTTCATCGGAACAATTGTTCATGCTGATCTGTTACATACGAGGAAATGTTTAATTGAAAGATATCTACGAGTGAGACGAAAGTTACAAACGAGAGGAAATTGTATCCACATGAAGCGAATTGACAACTACATTTTTAAAAGTTAGAGTTATGCACGCGATATTTGAAATTATTTGCTTTCGATTTTGTATTTATATAGTATATGACATTTAAGATACATAAAATAATAAAAGAATTATTTAAAAAATTATTGTATTTTGCAATATATACAACTACACATTTTTTTAAAGCAACTGTGATGTATTTTTTTACGCCAATTAATTTAGATATTTCATTATTCTGTGTATAAAAGTATTATTAAGATACGATTATAAAAAAATTAATAGTTTACGAGACATTTTATATTTTATGTCAAAATATGCAAAAATAAAGTATAAAATAGCCTTTAAATTATTGATTTTTCAATAGTTTTATTATAATACTTTTTTGTGCAGAATAATTAAAGACATCATATTACATAAAAAAAATTACAGATATAATTTCATTTTAAAAAGTGATGATAACTTTCATATGATTTTAAAAAATTGATTTTTTCTAAAATTAATTTTGTCATTATTTGCGCTCCTTTCATACAACTTTTGTGTGTGTGTTTAGAACATTTATTTTTACAATAAAAAATGGAAACGTTTTTTAAAGGGATAAATTAAAATGGAACATCTTGTTCATAATTATAGTGTATATTAACTACGTACATACATATATATGTATATGACTCTATACACATATATTCTTTACGACGAAAATGTATAATAAAACGAATAAAATGTCATTCATGTTAAACATGAATTTAAAATTCTGTTATTACCACAGTATTAATTTTATTTTTATTTATGTGTTTATAAATTTCGACGTTAAAAAGATAATTGTTTAAGCTCATAAGCTTAATAACGGTTTGTACATACACAATATGTCTGTAATGGTATATATGAAGTATACAATAGCAGTATCGCGCACGCTACATAACTCAGCAAGATATTGGGTATACTCTATATTATCACAGTAAACCTGTTCCTCAACAGCCCTTATGATGACGTAATTATCTTTAGTAATTAAAGTATACATATACTTTAGGTTATATGTTGGCTCTTTAAAGACAAGTTGCAGAAAATTATGGAAATTTTAAGCAAACAGGCTTTTATTTTTCGATCGATAGATTATTAATATTCATTAACGACTCTGCATGTTTACAATAGATTAATCTAGTTAATATATTTCATTACAATGTAATCAAACATTAATTATTACTTTTGATATATACATATATTCTAATAGACATTATTTACATTACTATAATACATCAGTTATATTAACGCTCGACCATTGCTCATGCTCTCTTTTTCTTCTGTATATTTAATTATTTCATAGAGTATATATGTATGAGCAAAATTTGTTACGTGAAATAAACAATTAATGTTAGCAGCGTTGACGGATTAATCCGTGTTGACCGTAGATGAATATTAAATATTCTGTATCATTTTGCCATCCGGCAAAATGCAGAAATTATAAAAGCGGGAGTATGTACGAGATTCATCGATTTAGGGGTCCAGGAGTGTCATTACAGAGTGGCAGTATCCATTGGTCGGATACACGATCGATAGATAAAAGAAACTGTGATGGAATGGCTGCTGCTGCTGCTACTGCCACTGCCTCTACTGCCTCTACTGCGACTATACTTTCCATGCGCGATAGAGAAGGGAACAGACAGCGGAGGGTAGTAAGTGGGCTAGTAAGTTTCACGATAACAGTTATAAATGACCCTCTCGAAGCACGGCGCCGCAGGACTCTCAACTACGTGCCAGACACTAGCCCCTGCCTAATACAGGCGACGTCACACGGATATAGCCGTAAAAGGCACTAAACAAACATACGCTAAGTGCCCTGGCCCTTCGTACGTGTGTATTTATGTACTCTTGATCGATAATCGTGCCCGTCGATCGCATGTCCCCGCCATGACCGGTCACCGCGACTTCGAGGAACGTCACTTTTTTGTGACGTCGTCTTATAAGATCTCGGTCACAAATTTTCTCGACAACCGAGTTAATATTTCACACACGAATATCCACTACTCTCGAAAAACTTTAATAAATTCTCTGATCAATTTGAAAATATTAGCGAAGGTCATCACCGTCATTTTGTAATTTTTAACATTGTATTTATAACTAATATTCATATATTAAAATTCCTCAGCAAAATTTACTTGAAATTAATTGAAAAATATAATTTCAAATATACTTATATTTACATAAAGAAAAATAATTTTGAAAAAAATGCTTATTCCCTTCGAGATACACCTTTTTATTCTTTTCGAGATATTTTTACATAACTAAAATTTCAAAATACTTTATTTAATACATTAATACAAATAATTGCGATATTGGAGTAATAGTATTCTATTTTGTGTAAAATAATTTGTTTTAAATTGTATTTTTCTTTTACTAAAAAAGTATCTTTATAAAGGAGTATCACAGGAAACTAATATTGGTCAAGTATTCTTGTTAGGTAATATACTGTTAGTTAGTAAATTACGGTCAACGTTGGGGATAATGCAGAAATTAATGAGTGTACATGTATGCACGTGTGGTTATTTGCGGAAGAGAGGAAAAACTTTCCTTGCTTTCAACAATGGCGTAAATAGATGAGAAAATATCTGAAGCACTTAAGTACTTTCACCCTGTTCTAATATGTCCATTTTCTTTTTCCCTTTTGTCCTCCTTCTCCTTCTCAAAAGCACACATGCAATACAAATTTATAGATATTATCATCAAATATTTATAGATATTATATCTATGCAATATGAACATTGAGATAAATTTAAATAGTTTTACAAGACTCTCTTTTGTCTATATAATATTAAACGTAAGTACCCGTTGATCGGTCAGTTTTAGGTAATACGGAAGTACCTTCTAGACAGCATGGCGTCCGAGGATACCACTACATTACGCACCACTCAAGATAGATGTTACGCCATAATTGCACCCTCCTTTGAAGAAAATACGGCACGTTATTCAGCGGTATTATGAACACAAATCTGCGTCGACTCTGCGGAATGTTAAGCGAAAGTCGCATCTCAACTCGAGGGATCCTCGTTTTCGAGAACGATTTGCCCCGCGATTCCTTCGAATGGGGATTTCCCGACAGGTAGCTTTTAAGGAATTTATCCAGCCGCATATTAAACGACGCGGATCTTGATAAATCCAAATGGATTTTCCATGTCCGATTCACTTGGCGTGTGACTTTCAGCGCGATTTGGCGATGTTACTCGATGCCAAAAATTGATTTATTTCACACTAATCGTCGGTCTGTGGACGTTTATGTTTTGTGGCATATTTATTAGAATTTAGTGCAAACAGTATGGTCGGGCTAACAGGAGTACGAAGAGAGGAATACAACCGCAAGGCACTTACTTCATATGCATCGATATTTCATCATTAAGTTAGATTCATTCATCGAGAATGATCAATATGAATATTAGTTTGCTTAGTGACTTATAGCTAATATATATATATATGTATATATGTATATATACACATATTTAATGCTTCATATCTATCAAAATTCTTTATCTATTACATGATCAATTTGAAATTAGATTTTTAGCAAAATTATCATTAAACGTTTCTATAATTAATTTTCGTTAAATATTACAAATCTTCCTACAAAGTTTGAAACTAATGAAAAATACAATCTTAATAATAATTTGTTTATATTTTCAAAACTTAGTTTTCACAAAATTTTTTTTTTAATTTATTATAAAATTAATACTAAATTATGCTGCCAATTCCTTTATTATTATTATTAATATATTATTACTTAATATTTATTCTTTTACAAAAATGTTCAGATAAATAAATGATGCTTCAAAATATTTTAATTAAAATTTCTAATATACATATATTTAAATATTTATCCAAAGAATATTAGTAAACTCTCTCTCTCTCTTCTCTGAAAAAACTTATCCAAAAGCTTAAAGACTACTGTCATCTTTCATTCCACGAATCAATGTACAAAAGATCGTACAAAAAATAGAAATATATATTATTTTATCGAAGTCATCTTCCATTGCTGTAAATATATCATAAGTAAATCCCAACATTCATTTATGGCGGTAGAAAAATAGCAATTGATGTAAATTCTTTTTCGCAAACTCATAGCATTGGAAATCGAACTCGCCAAAATTATGTGGGCTTCAATCCTTGGCATAAAAGCTCTCCCTTCCCTCTTTCTCACTCTCTCTTTTTTTCTCTCATTACAATGACCTGAATGCATTTCGGGCTCGCGATCTCCTCGATTTCGTTTTCGTACAAAGAGCGCAGATGCAGGCAGGCGCGAACCACCCCTACATACCACTAGAATCAAGTCGCGCCCTGAACAGGCAGCGCGAGCGTCATGGCGGCGACTTGGAATATCGATCGTGGACCAGTGGGATGCTGGCCGCCCAACGTTTCGCCGATCACGCGCTACTATTCAGTACACTAAGTGTTTTGTTATCCTGCCTTCTTGGCTTTTTTTATACCTCTTGTTTGTAAAATTACTATCTTGGTACCAAAGGGTGAGAGCCGTCTGCAGAGAGTACTCGCGAGTGTTCTACCTTTGCACGCATTTGTAAACAGTGCCGAAAATGCGGACAACGGTGCTCACAGTTTTACTCAATATCTTCGGTATCGCTTACGGTAAGCTCGCTCGACTACTAACGATCTATTGAGAAAATAAATGGTCGTGAATAAAAAACAATCATTTACTTGTTTGTTTCGTTAATTGTAGCAGTGATTATTAAAATGACATAATATGGGACACAATGTGGGCAAATTTTTCTTACTTTTTTATTTATATACAATATTATTATCATAAAATTTTATCACTGAGAAAGAAATTTGCATGTTTAGCTATACATTTTACACATTTTTAAAAATTATTATTAAACAAAAGAATATAATTTTTAATGCACGCAAGCATAAATTTTAATTAAAACCGATTATTTTTTAGAGGAAATATTCTAAAATTCTTATTTCTTTACTAACATGTTAATTCTACTGTGAAAACTGGAGTGTATTAACTATAATTATTTCTTAATACAGTGGCATTCTATTGTCATTTCATTCTTTTTCTGTTTTTTTTTATTGCTGTATGCTTTTAGACTATATATCCTTCTATTATTTTTTTTATTTTTATACGTACAAACAAAATTTTGGAATAGAGAGCTTGCTTAATTTATAAATAACATTCTATATACTGATTTACGTAATAATATTTTTTAAACATGTATGATTAGAACCAATTTTTTTATAATTTTGCAATAAATTATGCGGTTATATTAATCACCAAAATAAAATATATAAATACATTTCACATTACTTCGCAATGGAATATAATTATAGAACAACCTGCAGTTTATTTCTGGCATAGTAATGTAAACCTAAGATTCATTTACATGTACGATTTACATAGATGACTCGATGTTAAATTTTATTTTTTATGAAATTACAATACAGCTTATTATTAATTTAATGTTCTAATACAAATATTTCACAAAATGAAAAAAACGCATATTAAAACGGTTCATTGAAATATCAATAAATATCAATAAATATCAATAAATATCAATAAATATTCTTTTATGCAGGAAACGTTTTCGAAGCGAATCCTGATACGAAGAGACTCTACGACGATTTATTGTCCAATTATAACAGATTGATACGTCCTGTTGTTAATAATACAGAAACATTAACGGTTTGGTTGGGATTAAAGTTATCACAATTAATAGAAATGGTATACAAATTGTGATATAAATGTTATTCTAATATTTTGAAACTTAATGTTACATTTTATTTATAATTTTGTTCTCTATATTTTTTACGTTATATTTTATATAAAATTATATATTAGGTGTTAAACTTAATCCCGTCTCGAAAATCGATTTGTTTCGAAGGGAAGATGAATGAATACCTTAATCAAAGTAATTTCCTCCTCCTCATTTTCTACTACTTTTTCCCATCTCTCTGGCAACAGGGCAATCCCACGACGGTAGAACGCGGTGTCTTTCGAGGCGATCCATTCATCCACCCATTTTTGGACTTCGTTGTGA